TTTTTACACATCATACTTAAATTAATATGGATAAACGTATTATGCCAACTGGATAATTTATCAATATTGATAAACTTTAGGTTTACACCATGACGTGTGCAATTATTAATAAATTCCAAGTTTATTATGATATGAGTTTTTATATCAATAAACTTCTATTTTATTGTGGAATTTTTTATTTGTGTATACCAAATTGGAGAATAAAGCAAGTAGCGCATACATATTATCCCGCTACAAGTTATACTAATAGAAGATATTAAATGTTTCCTTTATTTATAGTCTCAATATAACTAACTGCTTTCGCGAATACTTTAGAAACTTAATAAGTTTTTTTGAGATTTACTACAACACGATACCTTATTGATGATCAATTTTATTTCTCCAAAATAGTATAAGTGGCTCTTTCGGAGCTCTCAATTAATTTATACTACCACATATTCTTCAACATCCCTATGGTGAATATCTCTTTCAATGAGAAAGTTATACCATTATGGTCGTGGTCAAAATTATATGCAAGATTTGTTTCTTACATTACTATTGTTCTTTAATAATCACATTACCAAGATATTTTGGCGTACAATAGGTACGTGACCAATGACTATTTTTCATGTCATAATAATGAATCATGTTCTTATGTCATCTCACACCTCCTTCTAGAGGTCAGTGTGGTATATCAACTAACATTAGCACGTTCATACTCTTCCAAGAATGAATATGTATTCATAAGTCACATGTTATCACATTCACATCATGAATGGGCCATAATAATGTATATGTGCTTTACAAAATCTCGATCAAATCGATGAAAAATATTACTTTCACAGAGTGAAGGATTATTTTGAGAATCCTTATTGTTCTTATTACCACAATGATGATGATTATAATTTCGTCTATTACCACGTCCACATCATTGATACCTTCATGGTAATAATTTTATCTTCTTTAAGACTTATCACATAGTGCTACTACATTCTATTAAGAGAATGAGAATTAAGCAAATTTAATGGGACGTGTTTCCGCTTCTTGTGCTAATAATTATACATGAATTTGATCATGGCAAGACATAAAAATTTTACCACTTCGGGTGGTTATAATTTATTACAAACTCTATTAGAATTATAGTCAAAATTTATTGTCTTTGCTTGTATTTAAAATCAAATTATAGAATATCAAGAACCTAAAAGAGAAAAATAAGGTAAAATACTCACCTTAAATCCATAATTTATTCCTCAAGGAAGATCATGGAACAATTGATAATCATTATGCTCAATATTATGTATAAGTTGAGCATCATGCACGTATCCCAAAGCCTAGTGACCAAAGCAGATACATAGTATAGGAATATCAATGCATTGACACAAGAGCCTCACGCAAATTCTTATATCTTCTCTCCACGGGTAGTTTAATTTCTCAAACAATAGGCAACTAATTAATAGTATTAAAATAACCGCTATCTACTCTATTGGTTAGAGTCTCGTGTTGATAACGTGTTATAAAACAACTAAAGAAGAAGAAGAGTATTGTAGAAAAAAGTAGAGAGAGAGAGAGAGAGAGAGAATTGTTATTGATTTGGGATAAATTACAATGGAATTGAACCCTTCTATTTATAGGGAAAAGGTGATTTAGACACAAATTAACAAACTCTAAAATCTCTCTAAAAGATAGACATTTACCATAAATAAATATGATGACCCGATAAGTCATTTATAGTTTTACCCTTCACTTCTGTATTTTGAGACCCCGAATAGCTCCGTTTAGACTTCCTCGATTTGCATGCGCAGTCCGTGCCCTTTTTCCGAAAAGTTTTTATGAGAAAATTTATGAAAATGTGAATCATGCCTTAAAACTCATTTGAGTTGACTACGGTCAACGTTTTACGCAAACGGACTCGGATCAGTGTTTTGACAGTCTCGGTGGGTCCGTATCAAGATTTGGGACTTGGGCGTGAGCCCCGAATCAAATTCGGAAGACCATAACTTGATTTAACGTGATTTGTTGAACACTAGTAATTTAAATATTTAAAGGATTCCTAAGTTTGATCGTAGGTTGACTTTGTTACTACCGGGTTTAGATTTTGGTTCCGAAACTTGGTATAGGTTCATTTCAGTATTTATGACTTGTCTGCAAAATTTGGTGCAAAACGGAGTTTGTTTGACATGATTCGGATGTCCGGTTGTAAAATTGCATGTTTTTAAGTTTCGTTAAAAATTTCATTCGTTTTCGTGTCCGATTAGTAGTTCTATGTGTTATTTTGGTGTTGATCGTACAAGCGAGTTTATATGATATTTTTGGACTTGTGTGCATGTTTGGTTTAGAGTCCCGAGGGCTCGTGTGAGTTTCGGACGCGTTTCGGAGAGTTCATAGGAGATCAATTTTTTTGCTAGTGCTCAGATCTCGCATTTGCGAGAAATTAGTCGCATTTGCGAGCTTCATGCTCGCATTTCGAAGAGCAAAGTGTCCTGAAGAGTTCGCATTGTGAACTCCCTATCGCATTTGCGATGATGGCCTAGCCTGGGTATTGGTCGCAATTGCGATCACTGAGTCGCTTTTGCGGTGGGTCCATGTTCGCAAATGCAAACAAATCATCGCATTTGCGATGACAGCAAAGGTGTGGGATTCCGCGCATTTACAATGGATTCTTCGCATTTGCGGGGTTCACATTTATGACTCAGTGTACAAGAATGACCCAATTTGCGTGCAAGAATGACCCAACTTAGCGAATACCTATTGAAAGAAGGGCACAAAAATGACCCAATTTGCCCTTATGTTTTTATAAAAGGATCTAGATCTAGGTTTGTCATAATAGTTGTGTACGTTGATGACTTTAATATCATTGGAACTCCTGAAGAGCTTCTAAAGGCAGTAGAATGTTTGAATAATGAATTTGAAATGAAAGATCTTGGAAAGACAAAATTTTGTCTTGGATTACAAATTGAGCATTTGAAAAATGGAATATTTGTCCATCAATCAACATACACAAAAAATATTTTGAAGCGCTTTTATATGGATAAAGCACATCCATTGAGTACCCTGATGGTTGTGATATCGCTTGATATAATTAAAGATCCATTTCGCCCTCATGAAAATCATGAAGAGCTTTTAGATGATGAAATACCATATCTTAGTGCAATTAGGGCATTAATGTATCTTGCTAATAATTCTCTACCAGATATAGCTTTCCCTGTAAGCTTGTTAGCAAGATTTAGTTCTTCCCCAACACAAAGACATTGGAATGGTATTAAGCATTTGTTGAGATATCTCCGAGGGACCATTGATATGGGATTATTTTATTCAAATGAATCCATGTCACAACTGATTGGTTATGCAGATGCTGGATATTTGTCAGATCCACATAAGGGTCGATCTCAAACAGGCTATTTGTTTCAGATGTGGAGGTACAACCATATCATGGCGTTCAACAAAACAAACGTTGGTTGCTACTTCTTCAAATCCTACAGAGATAATAGCTATTCATGAAGCGAGTCGAGAATGTGTTTGGTTGAGATCAATAACTCAACATATCCAAGGAGATAGGTGGTCTTTCATGGGGAAAGAATATTCAAATAATATTGTATGAAGATAATGTTGCGTGTATAGCTCAACTAAAAGGGAGATATATTAAAGGAGACAGAACACATCACATTTCACCAAAATTGTTTTTCACGCATAATCTTCAAAAGAATGGTGAATTAGATGTTCAACAAGTTCGTTCAAATGATAATTTAGCAGATTTGTTCACTAAAGCATTACCAACATCAACATTTGAGAAGTTGAGATATAGGATTGGAATGCGTTGTCTCCGAGATATCAAATAGAAGTTTCATCAGGGGGAGAAATACGCTGCACTCTTTTTTCCTTAACCAAGGTTTTGTCCCAATTGGGTTTTCCTAGTAAGGTTTTTAATGAGGTAGTTCTCGATGTGTATTACATGATATGTGTACTCTTTTTCCTTTACTAGGATTTTTTTCCCACAGGATTTTTTCCTAGTAAGGTTTTAACGAGCCACATTATCTTTGGACATCCAAGGGGAAGTGTTATAGATCACTTACACATAAGGTGGATGTCCAACTTGAGATTTGGAAATCTTGCCATATCTTAGATTTGTCTTCATGTCTACATTTGTGTTGATTTTGAGACTCATAACTAGATTTAGGAAGTTATGTAACAATGCAATTTTCTATAAATAGGTTCATTCATGAACCTAAAGAGGACATTTTGAAACAAAAGAAAGAAATCTTCCTTTCTACTATTATCAATCTCTTTTATTATTAATTTTAATTACATAGTTCTTGCTATATTGCTTTCATTTCATAAAAGAGCAGATTATGTAATCTCTTTGTAATATTGGATCCACACAGACTCAAATGAAACCATATGGGAATTGAAATTCCTTGTACTGAAAGTATCTTCCGACTCCTTAACAACTAGAGAAATGTATATTTTTTGTCGCTCCCAAAAATAATAACCAATAAAATATATAATTACTATGTGCATTATATACATATAATATACATATTTCATACTATTTTTGGCTAGCGAATTCAATTAGTGTCGGCAGACCAACTGATTTTGTATTTTGCCCACAACTAGGTATATTTCCAATCAAGCTCTCCAATCTAATACAAGGTCGATCTCATATAGGACTTTATGCCCTACCTGTAATTGGACCTTTATGAGCTTCTAAAATATCATTTAGTCAATCATCAATATCCCAATTGGTCCTAAACATGTAGTCAGGAAAAGAATTGTAATAATTAAATGGTAATGGGTCGTCTTGTTCAGCCACATATTCATATGGTTGACCCCAACTTGCTTGGAATTGAGGCATAATTGTTACTCCCTCCGGTCCAAATAAGTGATTTTTAAACTGTTTTCACACAGATTAAGAAATTTCCCTTTTAACATTAATTAGCAATAAAATTAACCATATTAACCTTTACTATCTCTTCACATAAATACTCCTAACATATACTCCAACATTATTTTCTTCAAGGGCAATGTAGGAAAAAAATAATTAATACATTCTTAAAATCTGGAAAAATCACATGGTCTTATGGCAACAACTTTGGCATCACACACACCAATGCCAAAAACCCCACATTGGAAATTATTTGCTCTCCAGTTTTTTTACAAACAACAGTACCATAAGATTCAAGTTACAATCTAATAGTTCTAACATCAACCTGAATCTGAACAGTGCAATGTTGAAATGACTGCCGCCGCCTCCCTTTTTCCCCCTTCTCCTTCCTCTATTCATGGGCCTACACCCCCTTCCGTTTCAGTATCATCCTTCCTCTATTCCTTACATCTTCCAGCTTCCGGGGTCTAAATACTGATCGCCTATAAAGTCTTATCAGTTTCCCAAATTGCATAAGCATGACCATTCTGCCAATTTAAAGACGATCATTCCCACAGAGTATCAAAAGCAGGTATCTTAGTGCATCCGGCATGCTCCTGGTGAAAAAGTTTCATCTTGCTTGGACAAGAACTTAGTGCTAAATGAGCATTTCAGGCAGTAGTGATCCTGAATTTTCACGGAGAGTCCAAACTTCTCCAAATTTGATTAGTTTACTGGACATAGAGATGCTAATTACATGTGCATTCCAGTTCATCCAGGAAGTAAAAGTCGGTGAAGTCCAGAACTTTTTCCTGGAATTTCATCTGCAAGTTCATCTGCTTGAGTGCTGTACGGATTTCTTGAATACTGGGATGAGAGATATCCCCTCCCAGAAAATAATGCACCTTATTTTCAACCTCCGTCCAACTATATGCCGGTTTCTTTTTGATGCCATGTTCTTTCATCAAGCCTCTCACTCTTGTAACCTCGCCCCACATACCTGCTTCAGCATATATATTAGATAACATAATATAAGGCCCTGAACTATCACCACCTAATTCCATGACTTTCTCTCCAGCAAGCTGCCCCAGTTCTACGTTGGCATTAGCGCGACAGCCAGCAAGAAGGGCACCCCAAGCAGCTAAATCGGCGTCAAAAGGCATCTCTTGGATTATGTTGTAAGCCTTGTCCAGCTGACCGGCTCGGCCAAGTATATCAATTAAACAAGCATAATGCTCCGGTCTTGGAGTAATATTGTAGTTTTTTACCATTGAATCAAACCAAGAAATGCTCTCACTAACCAACCCTGCATGGGCACAAGCAGATAATAAGCAGAGGAATGTTATACCATCTGGTTCACATCCTCTGATAACCATTTGCTCCAAATATGCAACTGCTTTCGCATACAACCCGTGCTGTGCAAAGGCAGCAATTATAGTATTCCAAGAAACAAGGTCTGGACTTGTGATTAATTCAAAAGCCAACTCACACTCAAAAATGCTGCCACATTTGCTGTACATAGTAATTAGAGCATTACATGTGGAGACGACGGAGTCTACCCCAAATTTAATAACAACTGCATGAGTTTGTCTACCAACTAAAGGAGATGCGAGAGCAGCACATGCAGAAAGAACTGAAGGACATGAAGATTGATCTGGTCGAAGAGACATCCTAAGCATCTCTACAAGTAACTGGAGTGCCTCTTCGTTGCGTCCGTTTTGTGCATAACCTGAGAAATTCATCAACAGAATGAATACAGGGAAAGTGTATTGGCACCTGACAAACAATTTATACAAAAAGCGATCACACATCCAATGGTTACTCAAGCCAGCTGCATAGTCACTCAGCTAACTACATAATAGAGGATTTTAGACTCAAGAATGGTAGAGCTGAAGCAATGTTAGTTAAACTAAAAAATGTCACATATAATTGCTTCTTAAATGTATACTTTATTTTTCCCTTCCCTTCTTAGATGTATACTTCAAAACTAAAAGTTTGTATTTCCCGCTAAACAAATTTTTAGCGGTTGATCCAACAGAATTTTGAGCTTTCTTAGCATGACAAGTCCAGATGCTTCAGCTGGTATTTAACTGATGTTTTGGGCCAGAATAAAGTGAATACGGAACAGAACACTTAGGTCCATTCGTCATATTTATTTAAAATATAAGTGTGGCAATCTCATCATACAATAGATTGATTCAGTACAATAAAATCTTGAAGTTACTAAGTAAAAGATTATGGTGCACTTGCCTGACAAGAAGTGAACACAACTCTCCATTTCTATGCTCAATTACCAATTTACCATGATCACATTACATACGAAAATATAAATCATCACAATGTCTGTAATTATCAACTTAATGAAACCACGACAAAAAGAAAGAAAAAAAAAAGAATCAACCACAGGGATCACACTATCTAAATCTCGAAAAAAAAGAATCAACCACAGGGATCACACTATCTAAATCTCGAAAATCATACTTTACATACCTGAAATCATGGCATTATAAGCAACACTATCTTTACATAGTATTCCATCAAACAAAATCCTTCCTTCCTCCACCCGTCCCTCCTTGCAATACCCAACTACCATAGCTGTAATCGCAACAACATTCTTATTCTTAGCTGGCATCTTTTCAAACAACTCTTTTGCCTCATCGAAACACTCGTTCTCTACATACCCATTAATCATCACAGTCCAAGAAACCTCATTTTTTTGTGGCATACGGTCAAAAAGTGACTTTGCCTTGTCAGTCTCACCTTTCTGCATATACCCATCGGTCATTGCAGTATAAGAAATCACATTCTTTCTAGGCATCTCATCAAACAACCTCGCCGCCTCCTCTACCATACCATGTTTAACATAACCCGAAATCATTGCGTTCCACGATGCAACATTCTTCTCAGGCATAGTGCTAAAATATAAATAAGCATCATCAATGCTATCATTTTCCACGCAACCTGCGATCATCGAATTCCAAGACACTACAGTCCTCTCAGGCATTGATAAAAACAGTTTCTTTGATTCACTGAGACACCCATTTTGCCAGTAGGCTGTAATCATTGAATTCCAAGAAACAACATCTCTGTGTAACATTTCATCAAACACCTTCCGAGCAGAATGGAGTTTACCTTCCCGTGCCAGTTGGTTGATCCTGATGTTGCAGTTGTAGACATCCTGAGGTGATTTGGAGGGTTTGCTCGTGCGGCGGGAAAAATGGCATTCAAAGCTATGGCAGCAAGGGAGGTTTAATGGTATGAAAGTTTTGAGCTTGGAGCTCAGGAAATGGCGAACAAACATTAAAGATAAGGGACTATGCGTGGGGCAGCAATTAATCAGTAGTATACTTGGGCTAATTAATCAGCTTTTTAATCCAACGAGGAGGACACACTCTTAACATTAGCTAATGGATTATGCGGCCTCCAAGTTGGTACTGTAATTTGGGAAAATTTTAAAGAGGGCTAATAATAAAGTTAATTTCTTAAATGGTCACACATGCATAGTTTTGTATTACACAGTTTAAGAACTTTTACCAGTGAGGCTACGCTAAAGTTACTGGAGTGATGATGCTAAAGTCCTAGAGAGTTATCAATCTGATGTAGAAAATAACTTGTAAGTATTATATTTTCATTAGATTTAAGGGGCCGCTCAAACTTCCTTTTCAGTCTATCGGAAACAGTCTCTCTGACACGTAGGGGATGTTTCTTAATGAGAGTTCCATATACTAGTACTACCACGGCCTTTTGGTAGTTTATGGTTCTCAAACCTGTTTCTGCTAAATTCTGCCTCCAAAAACATGAGCTTTACACACTCTTCCTTGTAAATCCGACCAGACCAAACAATTTCACCTTTCTCACCATGCTACATGTGTTGTAAAAGGAGGTTACTTTTTTTTTTTTTCCACACAACCCGCGTTCATTGAATTCCAAGACACTACAGTCCTCTCCGGCATTGATACAAAGAGTTTCTTGGATTCAGAAGACACTCGCATTGTCAATAGACTATCATTGAATTCCAAGAAACCACATCTCTCAGTAACATTTTATCAAACACCCCACGCAGATTGGAGTTTACCTTCCCGTGCCAATGCATTGATCATGATGTTCTAGCCTTGTGCCTCGAAGGATAGAAGGTAAGGATTTGTGTCCCTCTCCTATTTAAGATAATTCCAATTCTGTTTTAAACTCATCCGGAGGATTTTAAGTGGGATCTTCTACAGGAAATAACTTATACGGATATTGTGTTTCTTTGGCACTCCTTGTGACATTGCAACACTGCAAAATAGTGCAGTTTCATACTCCGCATAGTCCTATGCTCAAACTTCCCCGGGTATAAGATACAACAAAATAACATATGTACCACCTACCTTGGGGATAATTTTGTACGTCTACAATTCCACTCATATGTATAACCAACCTTTAGGGTGATTTTAAACAAATTTCTTTACATTTCGACGAGTCAATATCCAAGCAAGAGCAGCAAGTAGCACACTTAGACATGGGTAGCACGAAGTTGGCTTCTCAAAATTAAGAGCCTGCCAGATATGTTGTGCGGGCAGATTTTATGAATCCATCTCGTAAGAATTAGGTTAAGAGAGTCCAATACTTTATACATTAAGAAATGATGACAAGGCAACTTATTGGAAAGGGTCAACTGAGGATCCCTTTGACAAGCTTTCATAGAAGCTACATGGAGTGCCAATGTCTCGTTCGACTAGCAGAAAGGCATCATGTTCGACTATACCAGGAGAGTTGCAACGACCGATGCATCAGCACTCTCAAGGCATCGGATGCCTCTGCCAATGTCAACAAACATTTAACACCAAACTCCAATTTGGCCCTAAAAATATCATTCCAATGCTAACAATAAGACTATGAAGTGGAAGATAAGAGGCAAATACCAAACAGTTGAGCTAAACATTAGATGCAAATTCTGAAACTTGTTCAACACCAGTGGTGTGACAACAAAACATTAGAAAGATTCAACAAATACTATGCTTCTCCACTTCCCAAAACAGACCAACAATTACAGCACACCTCCATCCACCACACAAAATAAGATCAACATAGCATATCATCCCTAACTACTAAATTTTAATACCATCATTGTCTTTTAACAAAAAGATCTAAAAGCACCAACAAAGCTACCACACTTGATCAAATTAAGCACGCTCGCCCCTGATACGCCTAGCGAGCTGAATGTCCTTTGGCATAATGGTGACACGCTTGGCATGAATGGCACAAAGATTTGTGTCCTCAAAGAGACCAACCAAGTAAGCCTCAGCAGCCTCCTGCAGAGCCAACACAGCATGACTCTGGAAACGCAGATCAGTCTGAAACCAAAGAAGCCACACAAAGAACCAATCAATCACCAAGTAAACCATTAAAGCTACATTCCAAGACACCATAGCAATGTAGAGCCATAAACAGATTATAAACAACCACCATAATTACCTTGAAATCCTGAGCAATTTCACGAACAAGCCTCTGGAATGGGAGCTTCCTGATCAGGAGCTCAGTACTCTTCTGGTACTTACGGATTTCACTGCATAACATAAGAAAGTGTAAGTGATCATATGCAAATTGGGCATCAAGAAAACTTGTATTTTACACAATTCTTAAAATCAAGGAAACGTGATAATAATAATATAATACTCCATACAGCTTTATATGAATCAGTAAACCAAGATGTAACGTACCGAAGAGCAACAGTACCAGGGCGGTATCTGTGAGGCTTCTTCACTCCACCAGTAGTAGGAGCAGACTTACGAGCAGCCTAATTCATGTACCAAACAACATTAGCTACCAAACAGAACATAAGGTTACAATTTCATATACAAACATTTTTAAGGAAAAACTGACCTTAGTAGCAAGTTGCTTCCTAGGGGCCTTTCCTCCGGTGGACTTACGAGCAGTTTGCTTGGTACGAGCCATCTGAAATGCCACAACCAATAATTGAACCATAGCAGCACAAAAACCCAAAAAATACATCTATTATGATCTAGTTATTTAAACTGTACCAAAGAATTTCTTGAAAAAACCCAATAATTTCACATAATTACAACGAAAGAATCAACTTGCACTTATTAACTGCAACCATAACATGAAAAACAAAGAAATGTTCAATTTATCTCTAGTAACCTAATTGTGTCTAAGAATTTATGACAAAGTAACAAAAAATCTCACATAATTATGACGGAAGACTTAATTTCCAGATATATTCAAGAGATCCAGCATTTAATCAAAAGCCTATCATGAGAGATTATCAGAAACCCTAAACCCTAGAGATTACAGACAGATCAAAGTTTCTACAAATTAAATAAAACCTAAATTATACTAAAATGTTAATAATAAATGAAATACAAAGACTAATTCAAAAAATAATGGCGCGGAAAAGAAAAGGGAAATAAAAAAGGAGATTAAATAATCTACCTTCTCTTTTTTCTTTTCTCCTTCTTCTTCTTTCTTCTCTCTGCTTTTGTGGAGCGAATGCGAAAGGTTCAAAGTTTAGCAGGTTGACAGCTATATATATTTTTGTGGATGTAGGCGATGGATAAGATCGGACGGTTGAGATTATTCATCCGTGTGCTTTCTTGGAAGAATATCGAGGGTTATAAAAGGTGGGTGTTGTGTTTTCTCTAGCTCTTTGGACGGTTGAGATTCTAAGTTAGTGGTTGTTCCCGGATCGAGAGGACTAAATACTTGATTCTTATTGGTTGAAATTGTTAAGTGGTGTTTGATTGCGGTATTTGTCACTTTTGCTTTGGGCGGTTAACTCCACAAACAAGATAATGGGATTAATGTAGTACTTGTTATAAATCGTGCAAATGTTTTCATCCACTTGCAACGATGGATGTCTTTTATAACAGTTTTAGATTGGTTATGTATTCATAACAGGTTTTAGATTGGTTATGTATTCAAAATAGGTTTTAGATTGGTTATATATCCAAAACAGGTTTTAAATTGGTTATGTATCCATAACATGTTTTGGATTGGTTTTGTAACAACGAAATAATTCTATAAATAGGTTCACTGATGAACCTATTCCATACTCTCAAACGAAGAAATAAATCCTCTCTTCTAATGTTGTCATTCTTTTCTATTATTAATCCTAGTTAATTACATAGTTCTTGCTATATTGATTTTATTTTATAACACGTTATCAGCACGAGACTCTAATCCTTTCCATTACCATTTTAAGGTTTATTTTCATATATCCTCCAGGTATGTCTTAATACATGTTACATATTTTATATTAATTCAAGTTCTTATAGTAGGTGTTATGTCGTCACAGAAAAGAAATTAGTAGACATAAAATAATTATATAGTAATTCATTATTCACATGTATATCAGAAAGCATTTGGTTAGAGATATTGTAAAAATTTGCCATGATTTTTAATTGGTAGAAATACTCGTTAACTCCTCTTAACTGAAGATGACCTTAGTAATTTTATTTAACCAATTTCTTTTGGATTTATATTCAGATATAATACTTTTTAAAAAAAGGATATATTTATGTGTAATTGAAATGACTTGATCAAGTGTTTTGATTCATTCAATAAGTATTGGACATGCATATGTTTCTCACTTGTCATGGAAATCTAACTTGGCTACTAATATATTGTGAAAACACTTAGAGTTGTCCAGTAAAATTTTGTTTATGTATTCTATAATATTTGTCAGATACCATCATAATTTATTACAAGTTATTTGCTGCAAATTTAAGCCTATAAATATACTAATAATTCTGAAGATGGCTCTCTCATTTAAAGAAGAGAATTTTAAGATTCATTTTCGTTGGATGAGAGGATAAATAGTAGCTGGTAGATGTGAATGCTTAGTTATACGATTTATTTGTCAATGAATCATAATGATCTCTTAACCAATTTCTACATGGTTGTTACTACTTTGCTGATGGTTTACCAGTACCTAAAATTTATCAACCAACAGTTAATTATTTGTATTAGAAGATACACTTGAACTATATTCAGTTTTATGATATACATGACTGGCAGAAGTGATTATATTCTTATAACTAATTTTGTTTTTGCTTATGACCACAAGAGTGATAATTGATATTTTCATAAATGGTCGGGGATAAGTCCCACGACACTCTGAGAATAATGAATCAAGTTCATGTGCACCGTAATAATAAGAGGGTTCGAGTCCGGATGATTAAGGCATAATATGCATTTATGAAGGTGAGACATTGGGTCCCAATGCACCATATTGATGATGATTTTGAAAAAAAATAATATAATTATCGTGGCCATATGAATTGGCGTGGTCGTGACAAGAAACGAAATAATAATCGTCATCATGATAGTAACTATAAAAAGGAGAACAATAAGGGTTCTCAATATATCCTTCAAAAGGTGAAGGCAATGTTTACCATCAAATTGGTATAGAAAAATAATAAATCACGTCGCAATGATTATACTCCATTACTTGAAGAGAATATGACTTGTGATAAACATTTAGAATGCATACTCATTCGCTAAGGTGAATGTAGCAATATATGTGTAATGAATAAAGACGTGTTGGCACACTTTCTTGCACAGCTGATCTCGGAGGGAATGACCCTAGCCATGAACAACTATATCAACCAAATGTGGATGAGCAACATCCTACATCTCCTTGCATCATCAATCAACCAGAATAGTGCAAAACATGCAAGAGATGTGGAACATACCACACAATGCCAACCAACAACTACCACAAAATCCACCAATCAACTTACCCTTTTTTGCCCCGGAGGAGCTAATGATGTTGAATCTTATCTTCACACAATGGACACCACAGAACCCCAGGCAAGGCCAACAACTAGGTCCACAACCAGAGCCAATGGAGGTACAACCGCCAATCCCAAACATGCAAAACCAGGAAGGGGCTCGGGAGGAAGAAGAGGAGGAAGAGGACGACCTAGAGATCTTGTTGGAGCCACTAGTGGCCTTTTCAAACCTAAACGAGGTAAAAATACTCATCTTCAAGGAAATGCTAGACAGGAAGTGTATCTTCAGCTGCCCAACGACACTTTACAAGTGCTCCTTAGACATCCGTCCTCCCCACGATCCCACAATAGGCAAGAATATGGTAATTCTAGTCCCTTCCTTGAGGAGGAATCCAAACAACACCCCCCCCCCCCCACAATGAGTCAAATGCCTCAACCAAGTAACATGATTGTTTGGAATGTTCGAGGTGCTAACAACGAAAATTTTAGGAGGCACTTCCGTGAAATCATGGATACACATAGACCTAATCTAGTTGCACTACTTGAAACTAAAGGGTACAACTTTAATGAGATGGTG